TTGTTCCCTGGGTAATACCTCAATAAAAACAACAATGAAAGCTTGTCACGCAAGAAGAAGGAGCACTGTTGGGCACTTTCTGAAATATTTCAATAGTATAATTCCCTTACAAACCCAAATAAATCTATCTGCGTGAAAAAATAAGAGTGATTTGCGGCAAAATCCGCCAGTATCGCACCCAACGTCAGTACCTATACGTAAGCGTACTACGACGCGGCTCTCAAACAAAGGAGTAACAAGTGTGATACTATCACTGCTGGACTAGATCTTTGGTTTTCTCATGCAGTGGTTCATCAGAGAGGGGAAGCTTAGTAATCCCCATTGCCTGCCCATGACGCCATCCTATCGCAGCATGAGCCAGCAACGCTGGCCATAAACCCACCGTCTCCAACACTCCACTAAAAAGCATGAAATTAAGCCCGCCCACAAACAGCAAGGGGCAAAAACTAGCCAAGGGGAGGGGATTCACAAACAAACTGCCTTGGCAACCTATGCCAGATGCAGGGATAGAACTTTTTCATTATTTTTTAAATATAGAATGCTTACGTTAAATCCAATTGAATTTTCAGTTAACCCATCTTAAAATAGATAGTTTTGTGGTATTAATCTCCCTCTGTGTTCTGAAGGTACACTTGAGAGCAATATCGAGTGTAGCTTCAAGTATCGCGTAAACATACATACAGATTTTATTTCTGGTGTAATTCTCCAGAAAAATTACTCTCACTATTCTTGGCTTTAGCTCCAGATCATCAGCTCAGAACCGGATCCGGAGATGAATCGTGAAGAATCGAGAGAGAAAAAAAAAAGATCCCCAGAGCTGGACGGGTCCGAGAGTTGTCATCCTAAACAGGTCCCAGTGGATCATTCGAGTCAATGATTCGGATCTGGAGCTGAGCTGATAAGCTGTAGAGCTGCATTTCGATTTTCGGTTATTTGCTTTTGTGCGGATCTTCCGCTCTCCCAGAGAATGATGGGAGGAGAGGTGAGAGCACATATGCTGGTAGGAACAGCGTTGCCAGTATTCCAGATTTATCTGGATTTTCCAGATTTTTAGTCGTCTTGCCAGATACACAGACAGACCACGTATATTTTTAGATTTTTCACATATGTTCCAGATTTTCCCAGATTTTTTAAACATGTTGCTTTAAAAATATCAGTCCAATTTTTAATTTAGATTCAAACTCAAAAAAAAAAAAAAAGCCAAACTTGCTACTTTAATTATCAAAGGCCATCAACGTTGGACATTATTGGAATTTTAAGGTAATTCTGAAAATAGTTCACGGTCAAGTGTGAGGCGAATTCTTTGTGAAATCAAAGGAGAATTTCAAGCTACTTCTGAGTAGAATTACATCCATCTTTGTGGGCTTCGGGGTCGTGCGGCGTCACCCATCATTTAGGCGTATTGTGAGTGCTACGAAGTGAGGGTTCAATTCCCGCTCCAGCCGGTGCAAATTTTGACAACCTGAAAATTTCCCTACTGGTCTACGGGGTGTGGTGTGTTGTCCGTTGTCTAGTGTTAAATATTCAGTCTGGTTGAAGGCGGTGTCAATTGTCTTGTCAACTCTGATGACAATTGAATGGAGATTTTGTCAATAAAGGGAGTACAATCCAGAAGAGAAATCATAGAAAATTCTTATGATGAAACTTACGGTGTATGCTGATACGAATCGTGAGAATAATTTCAAAAGAATGTTGTCAAATGTTTCTATGGAGATTAATTTTAATAAAATTTTAAGCGCAATTTCTGAGAGACTATCAAAACCATTTTTGCAAAGTATTTGAGTACTTAGGTAATACTGAAAAGGATTTCAAAACAATTCTGACCTTACCTACAAAGCAGTTCAAAGGGAATTATTGGTTAAGTCTGAGAAGAGTGTGACGGTCATGCTGAAGAGTGTACAAAGGGATTTTTTAAGAATATTTTAAGAATTTCATAGAGAAAAATGGACACAAAATTGAGCCAATTCTTGCCAGTTTGAGTTGTGGAATTAGAGAGTGATTTATAAAAGATTACAAGAGGTAATGCTACGAACTCTTAGAATGTTATTGGAAAAGTTTAGATATTTTCAAGAATATTTTAAGGGAATATAGAAAAGAATTATGATGGAATTCTAGGATGATTCAAATTGAACTAAACAAAGGCGAAGATATCCTGTGAAGAGTTCCAAGTAATTTCAGACTAACAAAGAAATTCACGATCTGGGACGCAGGAAAAATATTGCGCGAGCGTCTTGGTTTACGCGGTCCTTTTCTGAAAAGTTCCGCTTAAATTGAACCGTGGCTCATCAGCTCACTTGAGAGAATCGGGTCTATAGAACAGCTCGGGAGCGGATTGCCCATATCTAGTGAAAACACAGAGTGTGGCTCTAAGGTGCGCAAATTGTGCATGCTGATAGTGAGATGAATAGCATTAAAGCATTAAACTAACTGTTTTACGATGGGTTAAATGGAAATTCATTTGGATTTAACGTTAGCATACTGTTACACCCCTGCGGAGTGTGACGAACCTCCTTCTATTTAGCAACCTTGCATCCGACTTAAAGATGTCATCAACTGTCATCGTCAATGACGAAGCGCCCAACCGTAAGTAAAAAAGAAAACAGAAGAAAAAGTGAACAAAAGTCACGTAATACTTATAGTTAAAAAGAAAGTAATTCGTTAGCAAGAAATTCCGGATAATTGTACTCTAATATAACAGGCAAAGGCCTCCTACTAGCAGTACGAATAGCTGAACAAGTTGCGAAGGCTAAAAAGATACTAAACGAATTTTTTAACCCTCCCTCACCATTCTGAAACGGGTTATAAAATCGGAAATAAATCTTGTTTGTTCACGCAACACATACTTTAATAAAAAGTAATGAAAAAGCCAGAAATGAGCGATCCACCACTGCCTATGTGATTTCTAGCAACACTGCCAATGCAATCAAGAATGGGCGCTGCTCGATTTGCTCTGGCTCTGACAGTTTTTTGTTGGCTCAAAACCAGCCAGTACGCTCCTCTTTTATATTAGACCCTTATAGTAATACCCAACAAATAGGGTAAATAACGGATTCGGCAATACCTTATTCTATTATCGTCATTGAGAGCTCAATTTTGGCCGGTGGATACATTGTGTTTCAGAGCATCTATTGGCCAAATTTGGGTGCTCTAGGACTTTGTTTACCCCCTGACGATAATAGGTGAAGGTACAGCCGAAGCCGACATTTCCCCTATTAAATGCGGATTAAGAGCTTATTCAAGCAAAAATATGCTTCTTCAGCTAAAAAAAAATACAATTCAGCTTTTAATCAGCTCAAATGTTTTTGTTGTGTACACCTGCCAATGTGCCGCCATTTTGTATTCAATTATTCGAAGCCATGTAATCACACTGCGGTAGCCTAGGAGGGGGGAGGGGGTTGTTGCCTTTGGCATTATTTTGTTTTGTTAAACTACAGTTAAATGTAAACTCTGGAACTGCTATTCAATCAAAAGGCGTCAAAGCTATTTGTTATTATATTTTCCTGTTGGATACATTTCCACTTCGTCCAATGATATGACCTATTATGGCATGGCATACTATTATTTAAATTTCAAGATAATTCTGAGGTGAATTGTTTGGGAATTCTGAAGAAAATTCAAGCGATTTTTAAATTGAATTTTACAAGGAAGCTCGAAGCATGAATTTCAAGCTTTTTTGATTGATCTGCAGAGAATTTCTAGACTGCTATAAAACCTTTTTTTTTACTATACTCTCTGGGAGTCAAAAAAAAGGCTGAAACTTATTTTAGAATAATTATGAAATAGACATTATAAAGGAAAATGATTTTTAAAAAACAATGCTTGAGAATATTCTAATAAGTAATAGAGAAAATGGATGTAATGTCAGCCTAAATTCCCCTAATTTGGGCCCATACATAAAATCAACAATCGACTAAATTTTCAATAGCGACCAAAATATCCATTAGTACCGTCCCAATGACGCGTTCATCTAGATAAAATTGATAAATAGCAGATTTTTAGCGATGGGCCCAATCTTAGATCGATAGGCCAATATTAGAGCCATTTCCCCTAAATAGTTTTGAGTGAAAGTTTTGAAGAACTCGAACGCAGAACCAAATTCGAACCCTGGAAAAATGCTGTTGAGCGATTTCAATTTTTCCCATGGTAATGTTATGTGCACCAATAGGAAGTAGACATGATTTTCTATGTTTTCCAATCAACAGTTATGAATATAGTCACTAATAAATGCTACTAGAAGTAAAACACAACGCGACCTGAAAATAGCATTTTTGGACTTGAACTCTAAGTAAAACAAGCCTAAATGAAAAGTAATTACAAGACCTAAAATAAGAACTGTAGTTGAAAAGTCGTGGTGCATAACTTCATGGAATGGGTGGTAGATGCTTAGACGGTGGAATTGCTTTGCATTCTGAAATATTTTTGTGATCAGAATCTCGTCTCGATACGATATTGAATTAATAGATATTGTTTACTTAACTGTTTCTACCAATATCAATTTATTGTATTGAAACGCTCTGTAACCGGTATTCGCAAAAAGGCTTCGGTACTAATCAGTACCGGCATTGGAAAATTCACCAGTTCACAGTTCGCGAGTCAAAGTGGATTTTCGTGACCTTTTCCATCACAACATCCATTCCAGTACAAGTTTGATCCATTATCGTCTTCAATGACGTGGAAATTATCTGTTGCCATATTGAAACTATTTATGATCCAGAATGCTAACCTCGACGAATATTACCTATACGAACGAAATCGTCCGTAACGACCCCAACCTATCCAACGCCACCCAGCAAAGCGTGACAGATTAGCATAATTTGTCAATGAATAATCTACTCCTGACCACACAAGCACACATGCTGCCTAACCTTGTTGCCCTTGTTCAAATCCCAGGGCCGTGGGCGACTCTTTGATAAATTGAGCTAATTTTTCTCCATTCCCGTTTAACCTACAGCAACTGAATACATCTTTCTCTTTTATTTCCTATTTATTTGCTCTCGCAGTTTTGGGAAATTATCTCGGATGAACATGGCATCGATCCGACCGGTCACTACCATGGCGACAATGACCTGCAACTGGAACGCATCGACGTTTACTATACAGAGGTCAACGGCAGCAAGTACGTACCACGTGCCGTTCTTGTCGATTTGGAACCAGGAACCATGGATTCCGTCCGTCAGTCTCCCTACGGCGCCCTGTTCCGACCGGATAACTTCGTCTATGGTCAATCCGGAGCTGGTAAGTCGTTTGATATTCGTTAAGCTGGGATAGCTACCACAGACTAACTGCATTCCAGGTAACAATTGGGCCAAGGGTCACTACACCGAGGGTGCCGAATTGGTCGACAACGTGCTCGATGTAATTCGTAAGGAATCCGAGGCATGCGACTGCCTGCAAGGCTTCCAGTTGGCACATTCGCTCGGTGGTGGTACCGGTTCCGGCATGGGCACACTGCTCATCTCCAAAATCCGCGAAGAATATCCCGATAGAATTATGAACACATTCTCCGTTGTTCCTTCGCCAAAGGTGAGTTTTCGGGTTTCCATGGGAAGATCTCTTCATTTCACAAATTTCATTATTTCATCACATCACTTACTTCCATCTTCATCAAGCTGTACGATTTGCTTTTCCTCATGTCTTGAAATGATGTCTGACTTCTTTCTCTACTTTCATTTGTCTTCGTTCGTGTATCTTTGTGGTGTGTGTCAAATAAAACCGAAAAGGTTTCGGATACTGTCGTCGAGCCGTACAATGCCACCTTGTCCATTCATCAGTTGGTGGAAAACACCGACGAAACGTTCTGCATCGATAACGAAGCCCTCTACGATATCTGTTTCCGAACGTTGAAGCTCACATCGCCGACCTATGGCGATCTGAACCATCTAGTCTCTGTAAGTATTAACCGTTTTCCTTGCCCCCAACCCCATAGGTTTCGGATGTAGTTCTCGAACCGTACAATGCCACCCTGTCGGTTCATCAACTGGTGGAGAATAGCGACGCTACGAACTGCATCGACAACGAAGCACTCTACGATATCTGCTTCCGAACACTGCGACTGGCCACCCCGGCCTACGCTGATCTGAACCATCTGATCTCCGTGAGTCCAGGACTACTGCGATTGATTCAACTAGCTTAATTTGGAGAAGAACAACCTCGCTGATACAATTTCCCCCCATTTTAGGTCACAATGTCCGGCGTGACGACGTGTCTCCGGTTCCCGGGTCAGTTGAATGCCGATCTGCGCAAGCTGGCCGTCAACATGGTTCCATTCCCGCGGTTGCACTTCTTCATGCCCGGTTTCGCACCGCTCACGGCCAAGGGCTCGCAGCAGTACCGTGCGCTCACCGTTCCCGAACTGACGGCACAGATGTTCGATTCGAAGAACATGATGACGGCTTGCGATCCCAGACACGGACGGTACCTGACTTGCGCCGCCATCTTCCGAGGTGAGTGCTTTGCATTGGGATTGAATCATGAATCATTGCGGTCGTAAGGTTTTTTGAGGCGATTGTAAACGGAATTCATGGGATGATACTGAGGTAATTCTGAGCAGAATTACAAGAGAGTTTTGACTATAATTCCAAGCTGATTTAGGTAAATCCTTAAGAGAATTTTAAGAGCTAGCAGAATTCTTATGAAGATCTAACGTAAGTTTCAAGGAGAATTCTGAGGGAATCGTGAGGATAACGTCTAAAGTCAATTCCAAAAAACTGCTGAATGGTTTTTTTTTTTTTTTTTATTATAGAGATTTTTAGCCATAGGCTAGTTTATCTCTTAGCAACTGCTGAATGGGAATTTATGCACATTCTGAAGAAAATTCAAAATAATGTTGAGAAGAATTCCGAGGGAGTTTTGGCGTGCACTTTAAGGAATTGTTGGAGATATTACAAGGGTATTCTGGATTTCTTTTTAGATTGAATTTGAAGCCAAATTTTATGAGAATACTTAGACGATGCTAAGAGTATTTGTGAGATCCAAGATCATTATGAATGTAGGGAATTTGAGGGAATGAGAAGGATTCCAACTAAATTTGAAGAAGAATTTCACATGAATTCTAAAGGAAATTCCGAGGAAGACCTGATCTCACTAGTAATTCAAGCTAGTTCTGAAGAGAATTCTAAATCATTGTGTTAATCATTCGAATATAATTTCAAGCAGAATTGGAAAGGATTTTTTTAGTAAAAGAAAATTCCAAGAACGTTCTTAGGATTATGTCAGGAGTATTTCGACTATAGTATTCCAAAGTAAATTACAACGAGAATTTTAGCGGAATTTAAAATGGACTTCCAATGGAATTCTGAGAAGCACCGTACTCAGCAGGTGGCGAAAGTTCCTTGGATTTTATGGGAAGATCAGAAAAATTGGGAAGATCAGAAAACTTCAATGCTGAGGTTACAATAAATTCAAGAAAATTGTGAGAGCGCTTAAGAAATTTCGTAATCTTCAAGAATTTCTCTAGACCTTCAAAGTTGATTAGAGATATTCCGGTAGTCTCATTATAATCAAGGAAGTTCGAAGTATTTCAAAAATGATCGGAGTACTCCAAAACAGAATTCCAAGGAAATATGGAATATTCCTAAGTACATTTCAGGAATGTTCGAAAAACTTCAGGGGCATTGCGGGGTCTTCAGGGATGTTTTATGACCATTTGGAAAAATTTCTGGATCATTGGAACATACCCCAAGAGCTCTCTCTTCCGGAATTATGTCCTTGCTTCTTTCGACTGTTCCGTTAGTGCTCTGGCCTCCGACTTCCTCCCAAGCATGGGAAAATTAATTCACTCGCGCGAGCACCACAGAATCAAAATAGCTGAATCTCGGCAAGTTTTTTACTGAGATCCAGCAAAATAAAAAAAACGAGCTGCTCGGTGGTGCCCATCCCGGCAAAAAAATCTAAGTGTGTAGACAGTTAGCGTGGGGGGGGGGGGGGGTTTACAACTATCCACGGCCCATACAAATTTAAAAATTTTGTATGGATAATTGTCTACGCAGGGGAAGGGAGGGGAGGGGGGGGGTGTCAAGAATAAAAAAAACTGTCTACGTAATTAATCGGAACCTACTCTAAAGACCATAAAACGTCCATGTTGTTCTGAACGGCCAATGAGATCAACCCAAATTTGAGTTCAGTTTAGGGCCCATTCAAATATAACGTAATGCAAGAGGAGGTGGGGGTAGTCTGGAAATGTGTTACCCACCTAGCCATGGGCGATCTTGGATCGAAACACAAAAGATCGATTCTTTTGGATCGATTAATCGATTTTTTGAATCGATCTCAAACACGACAAAAATCGACTGGATCGATCCTTTTCCTTCGATTTTTGTTTCGATCAAAAACAAAATTCAACTTTAGACTGAACTTGACGTTAATCTATACCAGCTTTCCTATGATCCGTTATAGCTGAAACATTTTTGTGCCATTTTGAAAAAGAATCAATTCAAAAGATCGATTCAAAAAGAAAGATTCAAAATGATTGATTAATCGGTGAATCGATTATTTTGAAAACAAATGAATCGATTCACTAAGATCGATTCTTGTCTCAAAATCGCCCAATGCTATACCCACTATGTATTAGGTATAGGAAAAAAGCGTTGCAAAAGGGTGGGGGTTATTCAAAAATCCACTTTTTTGCGTTACATAATATTTGAACGGACCCTTACTCATAAATCGCAAAACGTGCTGGAGCTCAGCGCTGAGTAAAAAAGTTTTTCCAGGAAAAAATCACGAATATAAGTAAATTCAAGACTGGATTCACTCTGTCTATTGGTACTACTGCTCTACACTGAGTAAAATTTTCGTTAATTTTCCTCGTTTTCCGGCAGATTTTTGAGGTTTTCCCCAGAAAAACATGAGGCAAATTTACTCATCGCTGATTTCCTCCACTTTTTGGGAATTATGAGTAAACTGAACTCAAATTTGATCGAAATTTCCTTTAACTTCTTGGATTTTCTTAATGATGTCGCAATTTTTCTGATCTTAATGGAGCTACACAGCAAAAAAAAAGTTGTTGAATATTACATCCAAACTGCTGCAACTAGGCGATTCAATCGATTGTGAGATATTACATTGTAGGATTTAAGCAGAAATCATGAACAAATCTACATACACGGATGTAGTATTGTATCTGCTTTTTGCTAATACATCACTTCATACATTGATACATCATTGAAGTTTCCAAAACTCCTCGCAACTTCATTTAAATTTCCGAAATTTTTCTGACGTTAATGACACTTTAAACTTCTTTTAAATTGTCTGTACTTTCTTGGAATACTTCTTGGAATATTTGTAAAGTTCTTGCGCACCTTAAGTTGTCCGAGTTTTGGAACTTCCCTCAAGTTTTCCAAAATTTCCGGATGTTCATGGAACTGCCATGAAATTCTCAGAACTTTCACGAGGCTCTCTGAATTTTCGTAATGATCTTTGCACTTACCCGAAGTTTTCTAAAGTTCTGGAAGGTCTTGTAAAGTTCCTGAAATTTTCTTGAAGCTAATGGAACTGCCTTGAAGTTTTCTATAAGTTCATGAAAATTATCTAAAGTTCATCGAACTGCACTGAATTTCTCGGAACCATCCCTTGAAAATAGGTTAAGGTTTATCTTGATTAGCCTGGGTCTGGTTTGCCTCTGATCCCTTGGTTTTGAAACTTCTCTGAACGCTTCGGATAATCACTAAAGTTCTTGACACATCACTGAAGTATTCAAAATTAATCTAAAGAGCTCGATTTTTTTTTTCTTGAATTCCTTGAATGCATCAGAACTGCTATAAATTTCATTTTGTTTTCCTGAAATTCAGTGTTGGCAAAATCAGAAATCAATTGATATTTTTCCGCTCTCATGCGCTCGCAATATTACGCGTGATATTGGAACAAAATATCATGCTTGATATTGATTTTACAAGCTCCTTTGATATTGCGAGACTATTCATAACGTGCAAACATCAAGCTGAGAGTTGACTCGTCACAAAAATGATTCCATTGCACATCATTTTCTTAGAAAGAGAAAGCATAGTTTGCTATCTCTTTTTAATCTTCACCGATGGCAGACGCGAAGGGACTGCTGCAAGCCGTCATGGAAGTTTCGGTTGCATTCGGATGTAAAGCAAAAATCTTTAAACTCAATCTCACCACAGTTTGGTGAGATTTGCAGTTGGTGAGTTTTGTTAGCTTGATATTCCGAGCTGCGATATCACAGCTTGCAAAATCAACCGCAGTAGTTTGCTTGTTGATTTTTGTCTACGAAACTCAAGCGTGATCTTGGGCGTTGGTGGGATTTGATTTTTTGATATTTTCCCAACACTGCTGAAATTAATGGAACTCTGCTGAAGCTCTCTGATATGTACCAAGAACACAAAGTGTATAAAAACGAGCCACCCAATCTCTATACATTAACATGCTAAAATATGTTTAAATATTTGATTATGTATTCTCATGAAAATTTAACATGCTAGTGTATTTTTTTTTAATTCGGTGAAATTTGTTGCAAGCTTTTGTTTTTATCACCAGGGGTGTTGGATCACACCATCGATACCGAGCTCTGCAACATTTGAATTTGAAAGCGGCCACAAACAAATGCCCTCCGGCGTGATGGTAGCGAAGCAATGCATACTGAGCAACAATGACGCCGGTGGCATTTTTTTGTGGCCGCTTCCAAATTCAAATGTTGCAGAGCTTGGCACCTATGTACACTGGGCAAAATTGACAAAATCGCGGCTAAATTCAATATTGGCTATACCCCAAAATATAGTTTCCATATTAAATTCGCTTGGATCTAATGATTCTGAAAACATAGAAAAAGTTGGAAGGGTTGTATACTAGATACGACCGCAGGGTTGGCGTTGGATAACGTCTGTTATGTGTTGTACTTAATTGTGTATATTATATTTTAGGAATATTCCTTAATAACTCTTTTGCGAAAGTTTGGTGGCCCTGAAAAGGGCCGTTTTGTTGAGCTGATGTTGTTGACAATGATGGAACGGGCGACCTTGTTGGACGCTTATATAGTAGAACAGAAAATATCAGAGGTGTCAGATACTCGCATACGTACGTTAAACTCTTTCTTGATAATGTTGTGGCCCTGAAAAGGGCCATTTTTCCAACGCGCTCGGCGTAGTTGCCCTTGCGGAGCAGACGGTGAATACGACCGACTGAGAACTGCAGCAGCTGGGCATTCCATGACGGCGACCCAGTATACCGGAGCACTGGCACCCCCAGGCTCTGCTGCCGCTGCTCTGCTGCCGTTGCTCTGCTTCCGCTGCTCTGGTACTGCTGCTCTGCTGCTCTGCTGCTGGGTCGATGATCGGATAGACAATGATGGAACGGGCGACCTTGTTGGACGCTTATATAGTAGAACAGAAAATATCAGAGGTGTCAGATACTCGCATCTGATGTCTCGGTTGGAGAAAGTATAAGAATATAAAAAAAATCAATCGATTTTCACCATCTTTAGACAATG